ACACTGCTTGCCTTCGCTCACACAACATGCAATTGAGTCATTTTTCCATTAGAAAATGTACGCTCATTCATTCAAAACAAGGATTGGGTACCATAACGGAAGAATAAACGTGCTGACTGAGCTACTGACTGAGTGCTCGGCTGTCAGTGACTCGTTTACTTCTCAATCATTCAGACTCTCACGCGGCAGTTAATGATGAGGCAGAGAGCAGTTTATATCCATATGAAAATGACTCATTGAACCTGACTGTTTTACGTCTTCCATATTCCTGCCGCCACTAACTCGAGGTGAGGGCTGGCTAAACTCGCAGGACAAGAGTGTTTTAAAACCCCCAGTGAGTTTGAGGAGTTTCAGCAAGCCTGGTGCTCAATTCCAAAGTGATCAAGTGTTAGTGCTTCATGCAGTCAGTGACGCTCTTCAAGGGAAGCAGCCGTTCACAGCCGCATCGCATCGTTGTGTTTTTACCACTAGCGTGCGTGCTAGCGTGCCTAGATATTATGTAAGTTGACGATAGCAGTTTTGGTTTTTGTTTTTCCTTATCTTTGATTTTTTGTCCATTTCTTCCTGTACGACTGGTTTTATTTTCGACCTGTACGACTGGTTTTTCCCCTTTTCTTTGTGTTGGGGTGAATCTGCGTTGGAACGTGAGTATTCGCAATGGATATTTTAGATGTTGGCGGAGGGATCTCACTCTCCGACGATGATTCTCTGCTGGATTTTCCTTCTTCTGTGGCGATGAATACCTCTGGTGGTGAAGGGTCAGCAACCAATAAGTACACCGGAGCGTATCCAAAGGTTAAAGGACCTTCATAGCCACCTTCTCCACCAGCTCCTCCATTGTCCCCTGCTCCACCCTTTCCCCCGAGAACATCACCTGCCCCCCGCTGTAAGGCTTCTTTTTTTTCCTCTGTTCGGGACCTAACACTATTGCGACCAGTAAATTGATCTATTGTAGTATATCCCGTGTCCTTAGTTTAGTGCATGTCGTATTACTCCATCACTATTGAGAAACGATGAAGTATTCGATTTTTTTACTGTTGCCACTCTTGCATTTATCGCAAGGTTCCGACTCTAATTGAAAGGTCCCGCTATTTATACCCTTCGGAGTGTTGAAACACCCTCCAAAGGCGCGCCCCTTTGTCAATCAAAATTTGATTCCTTAGCAACAAAATTAAGGTATGACACCGATAATGACCATGCATCAGAACCCTAGTCTTAACCACTTCAAACTAGGGAACAACGAAGAGAAGATTAGGAATCACATAGATGAAGACAACTAACTCATTTTTTTTGCCTTGTTTCTAGATCATCCTCGGTAGACAAAGCCAAGTCTTGTCACTATCAACAAGGCATAAAAAGTAACAAGGACTAAGATGTGTTCCTTGGATTACTGAAAAATCCTGTTCCCCTAGTTTGAAGTAGTCAGGACTAGGAATCGGTGGTAGATCTTACATCCCGTAACGTACCACGAAAAGGTGATCTACCCACGTTACGGAGCGGTGTAAGGCTTACCCAGAAGACTCGAAAGGTCCGAGGGTTGTCTTCTTCCAACGCTAACAAAAGGCTTTGAATGTTCATCAGATTTTGAGGGATCTGATTAAACATTTTTGAGAGGTAAGACCAAATCAACTACGTGTTACCGTTAGCGATCGTGTGCAGGCAAACAATATTGTTGCCTTTGAGTTTTTTTTTGTTGGAATATCGAGTGTATATTCCAAGTAACGAAGTTGAAATCGAGGGAGTTGTAACCGAAGCGAATATGACGCGTGATGATTTCCTGAAAGGCGGGGTTGGTTTCTTCAAGAACCCTCACCTCCCGAAAATTAAAATACTAGACTGCATTCAAATGCATTCAGTGTCCCTCGTTGGAACGAAGAAGACCTACATGCTTTCGGACTCGTTTCGTGTGACCTTCGCCGGGTCAGTACTACTAGATTACGTTGCGATTGGGATGATCCGATTACCTGTGCGCTTGTTTGTACCAAAGGTAATGAACTGCACAAAATATAAGTGACTAGGACATACTGCGGCTTTCTGTGGTAAAAAGGCCACGCAATGTGGAGAGAAACATACAGAGGGTTCTTGTCGTGCCTCCCCAAAATGTCCTTATTGTTTGGAAATTCCGCATGCTCTCGCTGATTGTCCAAGTACAAATCCCCTTCGAGTCAATATATTGATACGTGTGGGGTTCGCTTTTGATATTGCGAGACAATTCACAACGTAGATATAAAGTTGAAGCTGAGAGTTGAATCAACGCAAAAATGATTCCGTTGCACTTCGTTTTCTTAGGAAGAGAAGGTATAATAATGCTATCTCTTTTTTCTCTTCACCGATGGCAGACACGAAGCAGCTGCTGCTAGCCGTTATGGATGTTTTGGTTGCATTCGGGTGTAAAGCCAAAATCATGAAACTCAATCTCACCACAGCTTGGTGAAATTTGCAGCTGGTGAGTATTGTTCGCTTGATATTCTGAGCTGCGATATCACAACGCTGTTGTTTGCTTGTTGATTTATATCTGCGAAAATCAAGCGTGACCCTGTTCTTTGGTGAAATTTGGTTTTTTGGTATTTTTCCAACGCTGATGACTGTATTATAACATATTTTAAAATGCTTGAAAAGGTTCTCTGGCGTACTTCAATATATGCTATTTTAAATATGTGCTTATTTTCTTAGGAAGTAGATGCCCTGGTTTGGAAGCCAATACAAAAAGAGCAATTAGCGGACAGTTAATGGGTTAAAATTGAATTAAAAACCAATAAAAAAACAACTGTGTAGAAAAGGGTATACCAATACCTAAGACAAGACAGGACATCTGACTTCATTTTATTCTTCATTGCAGGTTATTTATTCGCTCCTGCAGTCCATGTTAAGGATAATCCCTGCTAAATCAATACAAGCAGTTCTGACAACCTTGAATCTTTTGACATCTACATTTCTACACACTACTAGAAAGTCATGTTAATTTCGGTTCCCTGAGACCGACACATGTAAGCGGGCCTTTTGACATAAGAATCAGTTGAAAGAAACGTGAAAATCAATTCAATCAAACGTTCGCTTCGTCGACTAGCTGATGTTTCGGTTTGAAAACACTTAATTTTACATGAAATGTTTGTTTACGTTCTATGATTTACGTCCAATATGGATTACGTCTCGTGTAAAAGTAGTTATTTCTAAGTGTGTACGGTTTTGACATCTATAGTGTGTGAGAAAAAAAGGCCATCTCACTATCACGAGAAGAAACTACCTATCATTGTCTTTCTTGTCATTTTCCAATGATCAAGCACTCATGAGAATAATTATTTTGACATCTACATTCCTACGGTTTTGACATCTACATTTCTAATTTATTTAGATGAATTAAAGCAAGCAACCGTATGCAATCGGTAGAGTGAATATATTATTAAGATTTCCTCAGAACTAGTAACAGTAATAGCAATAAATGAGCTAGTAATTATGATGAACACAATACTGTCACGTTCTGTCATGATAAAAAATTCGATAACATTTTGAAGAAAATCTCTATCATCCGATGATAGTATCTATGTAAATTTCACGTGAGATCTTTCATTGAAAATTACATTTACCAGTCCTGGTTCTGAATATCAAGCCCATTATTCTTCGGAAAAGGGATGGAGGCCCAGCAGCTGGTCAATATCAAAAATCGATAACATTTAAATTTGCAAACTTACTTCGTGCCACCATCGAACCCTGCCAACGCACAGTGCACAATTTGCCAGGAATTAAATCTAGCAGGAAAAACTATTAACGTTCTGTGATTGCATCCAATTTAGTTGATGTCTACAGTGAAGTTTCTTGGATTAATTAGGACTATAACTTGGTGGATAAAAATAGTTCAAGTTTTCGCTGCAAAGGTGGCACAGCAATACAACAGAAGAGATACGAAAAACATCGAAAAGTGATAGAGAAAGAGAGAGAAGTACTACAGATGCCGATTATTCAACAGGACTCAACGAGAATCGAGATGACAAAGATTCAGCAGCAAGGACACAATACATAAGCGGTGAGATCTAACTGATTACAACTATATATAAAAATATGAAATGCATCCTACTAAATACGTGCCATCTACAAAGCAGGAATTGCTTTGATGATGGAAGTGTACACGCAGTACCAATATACATTTTGTATCGGTACTACGTGTATGTGGGGCTTGTTGTAAGTGAAAGTAACCTCGGAATGGACGTGAGTGACCAGGCATTCTGAAATGGGTTACTGAATCTCAACAGAGCTATCACCTTTCAACTTTCGGACTAAATTTGTTTGCAATGGGATCAGTATAAGATAATAATAGATTATATTGCAAACATTTTTCTTCCATAAAAACACTGCCGAACAGTGGAAGTTGGATTGTATATACATACATACATACATACAATATAAAATATACATAAAATCGCATTACTTCTAAAAAGAGAGGATTCCGTAAATTAACGACTATTGTATCTTTTCAATCCATTGCACACCGAGACAATTTAAGCTTAACTAAAAATCACATGACGATGACGATACAAAACAAACCACATTCGTATTAGTAATTGACATGGTATAGATATATTTTGTCGGGATAATAATCCACGGAGATAATGTTGTCTCATGCAGTGTAGGTAATTAATTTTTGAACGTGCCAAATGTTTCATGATGGATTTGAAGATTAGCAGAAGAAAAATGAACATTCCATGGTTTTAAGTAGTATATTGAAGTGTTCATGTGCAGGTATTGGAGTGTTGAATTTATTCATTCAGGAACACTTCAATATACCAGAAATTTGTCAATTCCGACTTCAAATCCAATTGAATGTTTCGCAGCAAAAATGATAATTTTTACACGAAACGGATTGCAATGAGTGAGATTGAAACATTCTAGAGCAACGTGAAAGCAGTAGGTATTATTATCTCATCAATATAAACAGAACAGAATTAGAAGGACAGCACGGCACATTTACGGGTGCTCTCCCCCGTCTTTCTTCGTCGGATAGAAACCTCTCAAGCGCTGGCACGATCCGGAATCTGTCCTCTCCGGCGACAAAGTGTCCGTAGAAAGTTGACTTCATCAACTGGACAAACAGCTTGTCTCCTATAATAGCTTTTGTGAGCTTCATGATCTACTTGTGTTGGAGGTTACACAGATCAGGTCATGTGACACACGCCCACGCAGAGCGCCCGGAACCGAACCAAAAAATGAAATAGAAAACAAAAGGAAAAAGAAACAAAAGAAAGAAAGAAAAACAAACTGTCAATATCAATGGCAATATTTAGAGTTTATGTACCTTTCGAGTGTGGGGACAATTTTGACTTGATCTTCACCAGCCACAAAATGACCGTAGAATGTGTACTTCATCACCAGGGTGAACAGCTTTTCGCCTAGTATTGTTTGTGCTACTTTCATCAACTGGATGTTTTGATTTTGATTTTGTTTTTCATGATGGTTCGGTGTGCATTGTGATATGTTTTTTTGTAGCATTCCAAATCGAGTTGATGTTCATAGTTTTGTTTGTTTGTTGGCGCATACACACAGGCAAATTGGCGAAGAAGCAGATTTTGAATTGACGGCCGAAACAGTTGTTGGCAAAATTTTGTACATTTGATTTGCATCCAATCGAGAGCAGGCATGTTTCAGGAAAAGAAAAAAAAACAATCGTTATTCAAGCTGTTAGTTACTTGGTGGTTCGGAGGAATGTCTATCAGTGATTAGTATGGGTTAAGGTGTATGGGTTATTTTCTGTGGAAAGAGGATGAAAAAGTACGACAGCAATCGACAGGTCATGGAAAGTTCGGGAAGCTTCTATTAGATTTGTCAATAGCTACCAAGGTCAGAAACGCAGACGATCTCGAAATTGGACGATACCTCGAGGAAGGCACACATATACCGAGTTCAATTCATACTATTTGATGGAATCAGAGGGAGCTATAAACTTCAATTTATTTTGGCCAAACGATAAAGCGGTCGCCGGCAATGTCAACGCCTAAAACGAATAGAATACAATTGGGATGATTGCTTTGAATCAGCCGGCGCCGGTGGTGTAGTGGTAAGCGTGACTGCTTTCTCACCCCAGTGGGTCTGGGTTCAATACCAGCCGAGGTCGGTGGGATTTTTCTGAGGCATAAAAATCTCTGGTCACGTCTTCCTTCGGAAGGGAAGTAAATCCGTTGGTCCCGGCCCATGTGTGTTTGAATGGGTGCGATATCCTACGCAGGTGTGGAAGCTGCCTTCCTGCACATTCGATTGTCGTCAATGGATGGCACTAGATTGCGGAACAGAAGACTGCTTTGAATCCTATACCTACACACTTGTAATTATCATGTAGATTTTTCTTTCACATTCATCCAATAGGTTCAACCAGTTTCAATTCCCACCAGTCAGAAAACGGTATTTCATTCTTGCACATTCATCCGCAACGCTAACATTTGATTGACATTTCAATCGAGAATAGTTTTTACGATGTGCATTTTATGCATACCAACATACTTCACGCGCCCTGCATCGGAACCCAATCAGGTGAGTATGTATAGGACCCATTCAGTCGCACCATTAAATCGATCATTACATGTAGCGTAATTGTTGCAAACATTGTCCCTCGGTGCTTACTTGCGGTAGGAGCTCGTTGCAGTGGAGGATTACAAACTGACAACGATAGAAATATAGAATGAACTTAATCCACTTAAGTTCACTTTCCAATCCTCCATCCTTCATTCTTATGATGACGACAGGTACCTACCGAGACCCGTGCGTTAGGGATTATACAGCACTGGGTTTCCAGACGAGACAAACTACCACTCGTGGCCCGAGGCTTGGTCGGTCAGTGATGGGACACGAGATTGATATGGAGCAGTTTCTGCCCTAGTTTCACACTGTGGCTGATGGCTATAGAACACGGGATATTAATCGTGCTGTGCATCCGTATTGCTCGGTGTCGGTAGGTATATGTTAGTACAATTAAAAGTTGCAATTGCAGCTTGTGTAGATATCACGAGAACATATAGAGACACACTGCTTGCTGTTTAATTAATAAATGAAGATAATTTGTTTTATCGATACGGTAACGGCAATATGTAGATATAGGCTATCTACGCCAATCGTATGGATTTAAGAATATTTATCTATATTGATGTGATTTGATTTGATGATTAGCGTCAGTTAAGTTTTATAACTCATATTCTTCCAGTTTTTAGCTTCCATTCTGTAAATCTGTAAAATTTTCCAACTGAACCAATTCTTTACCGATTCTCGCCATATATTTGTCTAAGTTGGGTTGATTTTTTGATATTGAATCATTTTAGTTCACTGGTTCCGAAGATATGATGAGGTCTGATCGATACATGGTCTAGTACCAGTGCCGGATTTAGGATACGGGAGGCCCGGGGCTGCTATCCCATATTATCAGCTTTTGAAGTTTGAATTTTAAATGCGCGATCGTATTTTTTCTCTTACCATCTTTATTTGAAAAAAAAAGAAACTTGTTTTAGTAAAATCAGAACAAAATCAAAAAAATATATGTAACCTACATTTCGCCATAAATAAATAAATGAAAAAAATCAACTACTATGATCCGGGTGCAAATTGATCAAAGTTGGGTAAAGCTGGTTGGTGGTAGATATCAAGTGAAATCTTGACATCATTTCATCGTGAGACTCCAATGGCTTTGACGAGATTATCATACAAAAAAAAACTTGATTTTTATACATAATTTTCAATTTAATTGACGTTGAATAGCATTCAATATCAGTTTTCAAATAAACGAATCATAGGGTTGGAACGATTGTTGTTCTTAATATGAAAGTAACATTTTTCATTGAACTACGTGTCAATAAATCTATTTTTTAAATATGGTAAGATGTTTCCAATGTTAGAAATTAATGATTTTCTGTGAAAATACCAATGATATAAAAAATGCCTACATTTAGGCGCATAAAAAAATATTTCCCATAATATCTACTGAAATACATTTCGTTCAAGGATTTAGGGAACACAAATATAACAATAAGAATATTTCATAGAAAGTTACTCGAATGCCATTTGAGGGGTTTATCAATTTCACCCAATATTCCCGATTTGAGATTTAAAAAAAATCCAAAATCTAAACAAAACACTAAATGTTATCATCCGGAACGATATCATCATTATAGACTATTGATTTGAACACTATAAGTTTGACAATTTTTTTTTTTAATATAAGTAATAATTTCCATATTTACGAATCACGGTTATTATCTTTGTGTCAATGCTACATAAAAACAATCAATAAAAGTAGAAGAGTCTGTGCCTAGGGGCATGAACGGAAGCTTGACGTAGGACCGCTAGTGGACGGAACAAAGGTGTGTTGGTGGTCTCCAGAATCCAGGAGGGAGGATGGAGAGCTTTGTCAAACTGAGGCACCAGACTGGTTCTTGACGGGGACCGGATTGCACCGTGGATTTGCTTGACCGAGTTGCGTGGCACGAATAGGCTGGAAGTTCTCCACCCTGAATGCCGAAGTGTTTTCCTTCTTCCGTCCTGGTTGGCTTCTTGTGGACGCCTGCTTTCGGATCCGCTTGAATTTGGGCGCATTTGCCACAGTGCGGCTTGATGTAGCAGTTTCGGGTGCCGTGCCCAAAATTCAGGCAACGCTGACACTGGGTGACGTCGTGACGGCCGCCACGGTATGGCTCCCACTGAACAATTATAGAGTTGATGGAGCGGATGGCCTTCAACGCATTGAGCGTCACCGTTCCCTTCTGGAAATGCACCAGGAAAAGGCAATCCGGGTACGTTTTCATGTTTTCGTCTCTCCTCGTCATCCGGAAGACTGCGATTGGGGCTAGCTTGTAACGGTCCTTGAGTTCTTCTTCGATCGACTTGGGGTCGAAGTTCGGTATGCCCCTCATGATTTCCTTGAAGGGCTTCTCACCGGGGATGTCATGTGTGAAGTATTCCACCCTGGAATCCTACAGGTACTTCACGGTTGCTTCATATTCCGCTTTGGTACGCAGCATCACCTTGGTGCCGATCCTGCTCAGCTTGAATTTAGCTGCAACGCCCAGCGTTGTGAGATCGCCAATGAGCGTGCTGAGTGGCCTTTTCATCACCACCAGTGGAGGAAGCTTAACTTTTGCCGCACTCGGGAAAGCATAATTTTCATGATCGACGGTAACGCTGAAATCGCCAAAGTCGCTGACGTTACCACTCGCACCATCGGAAGTCCTGATTCTTCTTCCTTTTCTTCGTCCGCTTCACCTCCCCTGGTGGGGCATTCCCAACATCGGTGGGAAGAGTAGCGTACCTATTTGTGATAAATACGCACGAGCTACCTTCACCACTGTTCTTCACTTTTTACGGAGCTTGCTCCGGGAGCGCTGCCTTCCCATCACACGATGCGAGCAAACGCGCAACTCGAACAACTCAACTGAGCGACTACACTACTCGAGTCTCAGATGGAACCATGAATATGTATAGTACATCAACTGAGATCCTCGTAAATATTGACTGTTGTAAGAAAAAAAAAATCGATTTGGCAAGCGTTTTTATTATCGCTGATTTTCTTCCCCCTTCCTTTCATTGGTGAAATGGTGAGCGGTCAATCGAGCATTGAGCTCGCTTATGCGAGCATGCGCAATGTGTCGTGTGTTCGATTTGCGTTCTATAGTTGCGTCCGTGTTTGGGATTTTTCGTTACATGTCTGAATTTTGATTTTTTTTAATGTGACTCCCAGTATATAAATTAAAGACGTAGTCCTACGTAAAAAAATAGAAACATCCATGAAGCATTGATGCCTATATATAGCTTCAATTTAGACGTCAATGCTTCAAAATCAATCTTCAATATTTTCGATGTTCAGCAAACAAAAGTAACTCAGCCATTAATCAGTTATCCTTAATTTGCAATGAATGAAAGCAAATTTTCCAAAAGATCGTTTGCCTCAACGCTAAAATTGGTGACCAACAAGCTCAGATATATTGGCAGTCCAACGTATAAAATTAAATCTGCACGCAAACCAAAAATTTATTACAATGAATGTTAGTTCCATTTCCTATCATCCTCTGTTCATGAACATCGCAGCGAATGTTAGAAGTTGACCTTGCAGGCGATGTAATGGTTTTTTGCCTTTTTTATTTCGTGTTCTGTCTG